GGTGGTATCCCACGCTCTCATTGATGAATCGCTGACCGTTGGTGTCCACTACAATGGAACCGGGCTTTGCGCGGTCATAGCCGAAATGTGGATACATGCGAATTGGACCGTGTCTAGGCTGAAGAATCGAGACAGGCGAGTAGATGGCATTGTCGGGACTGGGGTCCGGGAGAATAGCGCCTGCTGCTTGAGCCAGGCGAATGCCGTCTCCTGTCACCGAGGACGGCGAGAGACAATATTCATGCGGAACAAAGGCTCGAGCCTCCTTTGCCCGACCAAAGCCTCCGCTAGCCAGCAGGACGCCTTTGGTTGCGCGAACACGAATTTCTCTGCCGTCCTTCGCAACGACGACGCCTTCCACGCGGCCACCATTCGTGACGAGCTCTGTCGCGGGAGAATTGTTCCACAGGTCGCCACCACTTTGGGCTATCGTGTACACGAGACTTCCAACGATGGCGTTTCCGTTCGCGAGTAAACTTCCCTTGCCGTACCTCAACAAGTCCAGCATGTATCGCTGGAGCTTTGCGACGACATGAGCTAGATTTCTGGTGCTGGCCAACGGGTTTGCCATGATAGGCACTTCGTCAAAGGCAACTTGCATCGACTCGAATGCCTTGAACCCCTGCAGAGCGTATCTTATATCCTTCAACCGCCCTCCTAGCTTGCGACCGTCAAACGGCGAGGCGACAAGGGTTCGGCCTTGGGTAGCCCCGTCGAGGGAGGTATAATAATCCGGCAACGGTAGCGCGAAGAACTTGAGCGCTGTGTTGTCGTCAATCCATTTCGCCATCCTGGGAGCATTGTCAAGAAAGCCATTGATCGTGCGGTTGTCATAGCGACTCCCAACAACTCCTCGGAGGTACGTTGTGGCCTTTTCTTTGCTGTCGGTGACCCCCAGAGTATGCTGATGGTGATTGTTGGGCAACCAAGCGCCGCCTCCCGAGAAGGCAGTAGTTCCTCCGAAGTACTTGGCCTTCTCCGTGACCAGGACCTTGAGGCCATGTTTCTTCGCAGCAGTAACAGCGGCAGTCAAACCCGCCGCTCCTGATCCTACCACAACCACGTCGTAAGAGGCATCGAACAAAGGCTTTGGCTTCAAGAACCCAGATTAGCAGGAGCTTCTGGAGTCTTTCTAACACGCTAGAAACTTACAGCACTCCTTGCAGCTGTCGCTAGCGTTCTTGCTGAACTTCGCAGCATGGTTGGTCAGAAGTGTACCTTATACACCTGTGCGGATGAGCTGAGGGCCGCGAGCAATAACGCCTTGCCGACTCGAGCTTGACGTGCAATCACTCTTGCAGAGGACAGGCGGCTGTGAAGCGGTAACTCCAAAGTGAGATAATTAATCAAAGAAACAGGCATGAGGCCATGAAGATAGTTACACCTACAACGGATTCAGTCGCTTGCTTTTGATGCTCTAGGCCTGCGTGCAAGAGTAAGAACGCTATCGCCAAGGAACAGCGGCTGTAAAGCATTCGTTGAATAGTGGACTCCCCTGAACCACCTCCCCATGGGGAGCTGGGCAGTTTCGGGTCCGGTCCTCGTAGACGGAGTTGCTTTTCTGGATTTCGGCCATTCATCGTCCAACCATAGTAGTCAATATGGTTGACGGCTGAAGTCACCGGAAACTGGAGATTTGCCAACCTATGCCAACATCAGGCCGTCCATATAGTGCAAGCAATGAAGGGAAACGCTAAGAGGGTTTAGTATGAAATTACAGTGTAAATGCATCGGTTGGAAATAGCATTCATTATTTCTATGGCGAAGCCTCCTCGATAAATTTGAAATGGTTCATCTCACTTCTCATGCATTGTAATGCAATGTACGATGCTCCGCAAAAGGTAGGTTGATCACTCCAGCGCCTACTCGCTCGGATGAAAAATTATTGTGGGGCCTAAATAAGAGCGGCGACCAATGGGAACGTCACAAGGCTTCCACGGCTGTTTAGAGTTACCAATCCCTCTATTCCGACTACATACAGCTTAGCGCTGTGGGCCTCCCGATCGCAAAAGGTTAGACGAACCTCGAACAAGTTCCGGGGTCGTGGGCAGGTGCAGCTTACCGGGGCCCGGGGAACCAGCTGCAATCTTCAGCCTAGCCCACAGGCACTATCGAGTACACGGGCAACCTACCCCGTACTCCTAATCCTGGGGTAATCCTGTGCCATCAAAAGGCAAGCGATGCCCGGGCTCGCTGCATTTTGAGACTCACGCCACTAATGACACCTTTTTGATAGAGCATTCCAGGTTGACCATACTACGCTCAGCTACCTGCCTCATCAACTTCGAAAGCATCAGCTGCCCGCGATGACAGCTGACCAAGGGAACCATGGCGTGCCACAAGGTATCGCTGGCCCTGCAACGAAGGAGAAACCCGTGCCAGGGGTAGTGGACCATGTCGATGTGGTTGACAACGTCGACGTCGTCCAGGCTACTCACGTCGACGGGACCGTCGACCTTGTCGACAAGCGAGCCATCGGTGGTGATTTGAATGAGATGCCCCCAGGCTATTTCCGCAGCTGGCAATTCATTGGCACAGTCGCTGTATGGTCCATTCGTGTATATTCATGATGTGCGGCAGGGTCACTGACAAGTTCTTCACAGGCCGCCACGTTCATGAACATGGCTTCCCAAGTGAGCTGGGTCATGCCTGCGAATACACTGTGCGTTGAGCCTCTGCTTTATCGACATGGTCTGACTGACTGGTTACTAGCATGCTTATGGACCAAGATCTTGGTCCCTCGAAAAACATCAACTGGGTGGCAACGGCATGGACTCTCACCTATGGCCTGTCCGTTTTACTCTATGGTCGCTTGTCCGACATCTTCGGCCGCAAGTGGATCACCATCTGGTTGAACGTGTCTGGTGTCGTGGGCGCCATCGTGGGCGCCACAGCGCAATCCGTCGAAGCACTCATCGGGGCCAACATTTGTACCGGCATCTCCGCGGGAGCACAGCTGTCCTCTCCCACGATTTTGGGAGAGATAGTCCCCAACCGCTATCGTACGCCTATTGTAGGCTTGGTGTTTTTCCTGACCTTCCCGTGGGCGACGTTCGGTCCGCTCATCGCCCGTCTGTTCATTCTTCACACCGCAGCCACCTGGCGCTGGAGCTACTACATCGGCATCATCTTCTCCGGCCTGTCGACCGTGTTGTTGGTGCTTTGCTACAATCCGCCCAGATACACACAGCTACATGTGCACGGCAAGTCCGAGTGGCGGCAATTTCTCGAGCTCGACTGGGGTGGTCTATTTCTCTACAGCGCCGGCCTCGTCATTTTCCTTATAGGACTCTCGTGGGGTGGACAGGTCTACGATTGGTCAGATGCCCATGTGGTCAGCACGATCATCGTCGGGGGTATCTTGTTGATCCTGTTCGGACTATACGGTGAGTTTGACTTTCGATGTGTCTACCCCTTGACTATTTCAGAGTGCTGGCTAATGGGTTGTTTATTCAGAGCAATATGTGGTCAAGGGTCACGGCCTGATGCCACCCCGCCTATTCAAGAACATCGGCTTCGTCGCTGTCGTGGCGACGTCGTCTGTCGGCGGCATGGTCTATTTCAGCATGACGGTCATGTGGCCCACCATTGTCGGCACCGTGTTTACCAGCGACATCATCTCGATTGGATGGCAGTCGGCCGTGGTGGGAGGCGGTGTCATCTTCGGCCAGGTCTTCAGCGGCCTGTGCATGGCGGTGTTGCCCAAGCTCAAGTACCAAGCGATCCTCTCGTCGACACTTGCCGCGACCTTCACCGCAGCTCTCGCGAGTATCAGTCCGGCTAGACACGCCTCAGCCATCGCGTTTGGTGTGATTGCCACGTTCAGCGTCGGCTTCATCGACAACGTTGGGTTCGCAGGAGTTTCACTCCTGGTCGAACCCTCAGACATCGGCCTGGCATGCGGCGTCTTGGGTTCCCTGCGGACGATCGCAGGCTCGGTAGCCCAAGCACTGTACATCTCCATCTCGACCACCGAAATCACCAAGAATCTGCCTGCCTTCATCGCGCCCGCGGTTGTGCAAGCCGGCTTACCCCAGACATCGCTCCCAGCTCTCTTTGCGGGCCTCACGACGGGCGACTTCAGCGCCGTGCCGGGAGCCACTCCCGAGATCCTCGGAATCGCCGCCGAGCAGGCGAAACTGGCCTACGCCAAGAGCTTCCGCATGGTCTTCTTCGCGACGATCCCCTTCGGCGTCATCCTCATCGTCATGTCGTTCTGGGTCCCCAATATCGAAAAGTTCCTCCACAATAACGTCGCTAGGAAACTGCAATTTGGCACGAAGCGGAGCCACGAAACGGATGAAAAGGCGCACGAGCAAGCCTAGGGGGAGTGACTGGGCTCAAAGCAAAGAGTACAAGAGTACCGCACCTCCGGTGTTTGCTCTCTGACAAATTAACACATAGGCAGCTACCATAGTAGCTTTGGGGGCCTGAGGCCCTTTCAGAAAGGCCGAGGTCGTGTGTTTAGTATAAATAGTATCAGGTTATTAATATTGACAAGTGTGTGTGGTTGATATGGCTCTTTTATCCCTATCCAACGATCCGCCAGGCCTAGGATTATATCACCCAGTATTTTTGGTGAAACGTGTCCGCAGAAGTCACACTGTCGGGAGCTTATGCACATGAATGAAAGAGTGAAAGCTCCATCATCGTTCATGTGTGAGCTATAGCCATCGACAAGATTGACATCGCACTTCCGCCGTTTGTCGCGCTGACTTGATCGCCCTTGAAAACAGACTCGAGGGCACGACATGAAAGTACAGATCCTGGTTTATCGACAGCGTACGAGGTATGCTATAGCACGCAAGACTCAAATCTTTTGGCGAAATCATCAAGCCATGCAAAGATATGTCCATCAACCCCTGTTGCTATCATGTACGAATCTCAACCTATATATAATTCTCCAGTGCAACCCTCATCCTCTGTCCGCCAGTAAGACCTCGCAAGGCTACGGCGCCATTGAAATTCATCGAGATGACGCTCTGACAGAATCTGCAACTCTACATCTTGGCCAGGACCGGCTCCGCCTGGGCTAGCTTCTCGATCTCGTAGAAGCGCTCAAAGTATTTGAACGACTCCGGGTTGGCCACGGCCCCGTTCGGTTTCGACTTGCCATGGGAGATGATGGCTTTGACTGCTTGCTCGATCTTCTTCCCGTTGATCGTGTACGGAATGTCCGGTACTTGGAAAATATACTTTGGTACATGTCTGGGGGTCCGAGCCGTGCGAATGGCGGTTGCGATGGTCGATTTCAGCCTTGGGGTAAATTTGTGACCTTTGGCCATCTTGACAAACAACACGACAATTTCATCCCGGTCATGTGGACGACGTTGAGCTACACACAAAGAGTCCGCTATACCAGGAATCTTTTCCACGACCTCGTATATCTCCGCGGACCCGAATCGCACTCCAGACGGGTTCAGGACCCCGTCGCTGTCCACAACGTGTCAGTCAGAACTGTAGGACCACGCCAAGTCAATGGATCGTCAAGCTCAGAAGAACTTACGATCTGCCCAGCATCAGGAACCCGTGAGTCTTGGGGTTCAGTTGAATAAAGTCGCCTTGGAACCAAATTTTGTCTCCGTATCTTTCGAAATATGATGCGCGGTATCTATCGAGAGTTTTCTCTCCCCAGAACGTAGGCTGACTGGGAAAAGGCATGCGGCAGACGAGCTCCCCTGCTTGGCCTGTATGTTTGACAGAGACGGCATTCGTCGCTTCGGCATCAGCAATGTCTGTCGCCATACCTATCGTCTCACACTGGATTTCGCCAGAGTAGAGTGGAAGTGTCGGGTTTCCCGTCACCACTTTACACAGTCAGTACCGGAATTATCACCAGAGGCGATTCATGTGGAGGTTACTTACATGAGCCGGCGATGTCAGTACCGCCGCTCGTTGACACGAGATGCACGTGTCGTGGGAATCCCACATCGTAGAACCATTCGCTGACTTCCGCGGTCAATGTGCTTCCTGTTGAAGTGACGCATTTTAGGCAAGAAAGATCGATCATGCCCCCTGTGGTGCGTCAGCAGAATCGCTCATGTGATGCAAGAAGGCATTAACGAACTGGGCTTGAGACCAGAATCCTTCAGCTGGGTCAGGAACCTAGCAGATGTCCCGAAATGCGTTATCCTCCGGCCTCTCGGTCAGTAATCATGGACAATATGATGCCATTCACTTACCGGAGTGTCGAAACAAGCCGCAGGAGGACCAGTGGGTCCGGTTTCAGTGGTGATCCGTCATATATGACAGTCCGACCACCGTATCCGATCCCGCATATTACCTTTCCCCACATGATCCAACCTGTCTGCAAGAGCACATGGTTAACAAGGTACTAACATCTCTCTATACAGTATGGGTGTAGGCTTACCGTTGTGTACTGCAGGATGTTATCACCAGGCTGGACGTCGAAATGCAACACAGAATCCTTTCTCGACTGGAGTAGAAGCCCCTAAATCCTGTCAAACCGCGGGTTTCCTCCCGGAGATGGACAGTTGCACTCACCGCAGCGCTGTGGACGATACACTTGGGTGGCCCTGTCTGGAAAGAGCTCAGTCACATGTAAAAGCATGTTGGGGTCATTCGTATGGGACTGACTGACCGTGCCTGACGAATACACAATAAAGCCCGGATGTGCGAACGGCAGCCGTTTGAAATCCAAGGGTCTCCCTTTGGCCCGTTTGAGGAAGGTGTCAAGGGAGACCAATTTGAGATCCGGGTCCTCATGCACTTGCTGACTCCTCGGTATAACCACGATATTCGTGAACTCGGAAGTCACGAGCATGGACTTGGCATACGCCCTGTTCTTTTCCCTCTGATCCAGAATTCGTTCGTTGTAGAGAACATCGCTCTCGACGAACAACAGCTTCGGTCGAATCTGGCGTACGCGGTCCAGGACACCCTCGACTCCCATGTCTGGGGAAGAAGTGGACCAAATGGCACCCATGGACAAGGTGGCCAAGCAGGCGATGACCGTCTCAAGTCGATTTGAAAGTACCCCAGCCACTCGGTCGCCTTGGACCACCCCCGACGATTTCATCGCGTCGGCCATCCTCGTCACCTGCGCGATGAGCTGCCCCCAGGTTACGTCCTGGACATCATTCCCGCCCTCAGTGCAGGTGTGGAGGACGACCCTTTGCGGATCGCGACCTGACAACAATATCTCTGTGAAATTGAGCTTGACCTCCGGGAACCAGATTGGGGGAGGCAGAAACCTCTCTCTATCCTGATACAGTCAGTTTGTGTATTCGACAAAACACTGGAGTGGTTTAATTCGCACTCTGAATGCCAGCGCAATTGTTGGAACAACGTCTCCCTTCAATCCCAGAAAGACAAACGCATCGACCCAAAAGTCGTTGGCGGTCTCGACCGCAATTGAGTATTGCCAGAGCTCTTGATAGTTCTTTAGATCGAGACGATGTCGTTCGTTGACAAAGCGACGAAACTTGCTCAACATGGTCTTCGAAGGGTCGCGGGGCTGCCAGAGACAGCGGGGGTTGTGGTTGGACGCCATCGTCAGTGCTTCACAGGTCAGGTTGATTTCAATAGCACTGTTTCTCAAAGAATTTCAAGTTCGAGTATCCCGTCGTCGTCGCGACTTTCGCGCAGCATTTCATCAACATCTGCCAGATACACGTAACGTGACTTACAGAACGGACCGACATGACTATTTCCCCCTGCGGAATGCCACGGATATTGGAGGGTCAATAGTGGCCTACCGATCATATCAGGTTTAGTTCTTGTAACTAGCAGCTTGGGCCACATTATTGGTATTCAAATACCGGAGAGATTCCACCCAGGGAGGGAGTCAGGCGATTGGTCCCGGGTCCAGCCTTACGGATTGATCCGTACCAAAACAGTCTAGTTCCAACCCAATCTCCACATATACTTTGTACTTGTACGGTTTGTCGATGGATCTCCATCGCTTTGTCTCATTGCCGTTGTTCTTGGTGAGTGACTAGAAGTTCGAAAAAAGCGAGCGAAATCAAGTCCATTGTGGTCTTCTGTCGGTAGAGATGGCAGACTTTGGAAAACTCATCAGGTTCAAAGATGCATATGGTGACATCTACCACGGCGAAGCGGAAGGGCTACCAGCAATCACCAAGAGTGGGCTCATCGGCTCTTCCGTGCCTGTCTATTCGGGAGAGAGTCCATGGGATCCCGACTTCAAGCTTCTTCCGGAAACGAGAACAATCGCTGAGGTAGGTACCTGTACTCTCGGGTCTGAAGCTCGCTGAGTGGTTGTCACAGGTTCTTCCACCACTCGCGGACATACCGGTCATTTATTGCATTGGCATGAACTACAAGTCTCATGCCGGAGAAGCTGGGGCACGTCTCACATAAACGAGTCTCCTCAGTCGGGCGAGGTGGCTAACGAGTCGAAGAAACCATTTACCCAGTACCCTCTGATCTTCACCAAGCTGCCAGGTAGCTATCAGATGTCTGTCGAGTGGTGTTGATAGAACTGATCTTGCGCTCAGGAGCAAGAGCCGCGGCATTCGACACAATCTCAGTCCATCCGGAATGCATAGAGCTAGATTACGAGGTTTGAGATCCCCCATCAAAATGGCCCTCCAAAGATCATGTGGTTGACATGGTATCAAAAGGTCGAATTGACGGTCGTTATCGGCAAAGACTGCAAGAACATCACTGAAGACGAAGATCCGTTCGATTATGTCTTGGGCTACACGGTGGGTAACGACGTATCTTCCAGATACTGGCAGAATGCCGCCCGTGGCAACGGTCAACCGGCGGTAGCAAAGTCCTTTGACAAATTCGCCCCTCTTGGGCCGGTCATTTCGTCAAAGAGAATCATTCCGGATCCTACGCAGCTCAGGGTAAAGACGCGAGTCAACGGGGAGGAGAGACAGAACGCCACCACGGACGACTGGATATTTGATCTTCCTCTTGTTCTTCGACATATCACCCGGGGTACGACGGTGCGTAAAGGGTCGGTCATCATGACTGGGACGCCCTCTGGTGTCGCTTTCTTCATGAAGCCCCAAGCATGGCTGAAAGATGGAGACGTTCTGGAGACGGAGATCCAAAACATTGGTGTCATGGAGAATGCGATATCGTACGAGCGAGAGCCGGGTAAGAGACTTCAATCGCTGTAGAAGAGATGGACGAGATCGATTCTTAGCCGGCTGTAGAGTATAGGTCAAGGGTGCTGAACCGATTATTTGGCATCTGGTAGAACTCCTTGTTCCACAACTGGAGTCACTGATTCCCCCATGACCGGACCCGGACTCAGTGTATCTGAACAGGCCCAGGACAAATAGGCTTGATAGAAAAGTATCTGCCGATCGGCAAGAATCTGACTGGTCCGAAACCTACCTGTTCTGATTGCGGACCGAGCTGGACTAGCCTTGCCATGGGGGTACCCTCGGCCAGACCATCTCTTGGACGATACAAGTACCTTATTCCGAACGAGATTTGATCCGTCTCGTGAAAGCGACCGTCTCGTGAGCTCGGCAAGTTATCTGCTGTGTGAGTGACCAATGGTAGCAGAACGCATAGAAGACGCCTGCCGTATACATTGACTCGATCTTCTCTGACTGTCTGTCGGTTACTGCCTTTGGAGTACCATCTGGATTTCCTTTGCACGTCCTCACCATGGTTGCCGACATCTCAGAACCGACGCACTTTCCAGTGATCATCATTGGAGGCGGTGCTTGTGGGTTGACTCTGTCCAGCTTCCTCTCCGACTATGGCGTGTCGCATGTGCTGTTCGAACGCCATGGGGCGACATCCTACCTACCCAAGGTACGACGCCTCTACAAGCCTGTCCAATCCCACTGTACCCCTTGTCTGACTATGACTCCAGGCGCACTACATCAATCAGCGAACGATGGAGATCTACCGGCAGCACGGGCTATCCGAGGCTATTTACAAAGAAGCCTCGCCACAACAGAACATGTGCCAGATGCTGTGGCAGAGTTCCCTGGGAGGTGACGGCCCGTTTGACCAAAAGAAGTTTGGAAGCCTGCAATGTTTCGGTGGTTACGAGGGAACCGCTATGCATGAAACCTACAAGTAAGGATTCAAGATCTCAATTCGGGCTGGGGTCGCTAACTGGATAGTAGAACGCAGTCACCCACGCTCCCGTGCAATTTGCCTCTGATCCGAACTGAGCCTATCCTCCGCCGGGCTGCCGGAGAGAGAAACCCGCGAAATATTCGTTTCGGCCATACTGTCACGGAGATTCAAGACGACGGCCGGCAAGTCTTGGTCACAGTGGTAGACTCAAGCAATGTCACCAGCCACTACCGTGCCGACTATCTCGTTGGAGCTGATGGAGGCAAGACCGTTGGACCACATATTGGGGCGGTGATGGAAGGCCGCAAACGACTGCAAGACAAGGTGTCTGTGCATTTCAAGGCCGACCTATCTAAGTATTGGGATGGTAAGTGTCAGACTTGCCCAAGGCATACTCTCACCGCTGATCAAGGCTGCATGTATAGATCGGACCTTGATATGCCACTTCTTGAACCCCGAAGGCGGTACAATCACACACAGTGGCGCGCTCGTCGTCACTGGTCCGACATGGGGAAAGCACTCGGAAGAATGGTCCATTCACTTCGGTCATCGCATGGACGATCCGGAACGGTTCAACGAGGAAAACCTGGTTCCGCGACTACGCGGCCTGCTAAAGATCCCGGATCTGGAGCTGGAGATCCTGAACATCAGCCATTGGATCCAGGAGCGCGTTCTCTCGAGTAAATACCAAGAAGGTAGGCTATTCCTCGCAGGGGATGCAGCACATCGCCATCCTCCTACAACCGGCTTGGGCATGAACACGGCCGTGACAGATGCTCACAATCTTGCGTGGAAGCTTGCCTTGGTGTGCAGCGGTCACTCCAGTCCTAAACTCTTGGATACGTATTCCAGGGAGAGGAGACCTGTTGGCCAGAGAAACTGCGATTGGGTGAGTCAACGGCGTTTCTTGGTCTATAAATAAACAAATCACTGACTGACTGACTCTCGATTGGAAAAGGCCGCCTTCACTACAGACAACAGAAGGGTTCTCGACGCGGCCATCGGCATGATCCCTGGCCAAATCGAAGCCAACGTGGCGAGATTCAAACGGCTGTTCGACGACTCGGAGATGGGCAAGACCGAACGAGCCCAGGTCCAACGGATCCTGCAAAGTCAAGACATCGAATTCTCTGCGTCGGAAATTGAGCTGGGATACCGCTACGAGGACGGTGCCACCATTAGTGATGGCAGTCCTCCTCCTGCATCAGACCCTCTCGGTCAACGCTACATCCCCACGACGCGGCCCGGACATCGTCTGCCGCATGTATGGCTGACCAAGGGAGACGAAGTCGTGTCCACGCACGATCTGGTCGGGAGCTTGCCTAGATTCGTCTTGATCACGGACGAGCATGGTGATGACTGGATCTCGGCGGTTGGGAAGCTGCGTAGTTCTTCACTTGAGATTGTGGGCGTCCAGATTCCCACCGACGACAAACAAACAGCCACGTCTTTCGAGTATAGGGACACAGAGAAAAAGTGGAATAGTCTTCGCGGGATCGAGAATGGAGGGGCGATCTTGGTCAGGCCTGATAATTTTGTCGCGTGGCGATCGAGGGCCGCGAGTGTCGACCAAGGCAGAGAATTGGTCGCTGCACTCGAGACTCTGCTGGGGAAGTCGTTCTAATAGTGCGTTAGAAGCCAGACACGGTAGCATTGGATATGAATTGTCTGGTTTTCTATGCTCGGGTAGGAAATCAGCCATTCCACAGCACAACAGCCACGTCCTCGCGCTGGGGCTTCAACGTATTCCGACATAATTCCATCTTATGGAAATGTATAACACACCCTCTTGTTCCGTCCATGCTGCCGAGCCGCTTGACACCGTCTGCGGGCTTTGTGGTGGCCTTGTGTCCCCCCCACAAAAGGTATTCCTGCCCCTTCGAATCGGATGTTCGGTTGCATTCCTCGATCCCGTCTCTCCCGAATACCTGCGGGATGGCGCTCTGAAGACACAAATACTATCTACCAGGGAAAACACTCCTTGTCCGGAGTCGGCTGTTTACTCTGAAACTATTGCAATATCGCTCTTCGCTTTGGATGATTCTCTTGAAATAAGACAACGCTACAACGGCCGGCCCTGGGAGAGACCATACGCCAGCAAAACATGTGGGCTGTTTCGAATAGCATACTCCTCTCGGCGGTGACGACAGGCCTGGTGAGCTAAAGTCATGCAATTTGAGGATGCCGAATAGCTAGGCTGATGATCTATTTCCAGCTCTGCCATGCCATCTACAAGAGGCGCGAGCCGGACGTCTTGTAAGCCGTGACACACACCACATTCCTCGTAAGGAGGAGATGGGCTGATCTGGATAGCTCCTTTCTACGACAGTTTCTGCTGCTTGTCGCCGCCGCACTAGGATGGACGGCCTTTTCTCAGACAGCTTTCGATCCGCTGTCGATCATAGCATCTACACTTCTCTTCGCCACGGTGCATCTGTTCACCCTTGGGTTTGTGCCTACGGGTCTCTTCCTGGCAAACACGTTGACTTAATTTAAACCCAGACTGAGCATTTCCATCTACCGACTGTTCTTGCACCCTCTTCGAAAGTTTCCAGGCCCCTGGACGGCCAAGTTGACCAAGCTGGAGGGAGTCTATTACGCATTGCCAGGTAAATTTCACGATCACATGCAGGAAATCCACGACAAGGTATCTTCCAACCAACTTTGCTCCCATATTGTGCGATCGGCTGACGCTGGAAACAGTACGGTGATGTGGTCAGAATTGGTCCTAATGAACTCTCCTTCCGCTCGGCCTCTGCCGTGAAACATTTGGTGGGAAAGGTCAACAAGGGGGCATATTTTGAAACCAGCGTCTACACAGAAGGCGAAGGGGTCCCCATCAATGCATTGGTCGATTTCGAGGAGCACAAACAGCGGCGACGGCTCTGGGACTCGGCATTCAACCAGAAAAGCCTCAAGTCCTTTTCTCCCATGTTCAATCGCCTTCTCGACCGCCTGATTGGCGAACTCCACAAGTTCGAGGGTCTGGAGCCCAGTCTATATGGATGGACCAAAGCTGATGGTCGCAGGCCAAACCGTCAACTTTGTCGACTGGTGTGACTACTATGCTTTTGACGTGATGGGTGAACTGGCCTTTGCAAAGGACTTTGGTCTGATCACGGGCGGTACGTTTTTCTCTTGTGTCCTCTGATAAGATGCTTCACGCTGACGACGATGCAGAGGGAAACAGAGATTACTCGGGCTTCATCCGAAGCGGCCTCAAGATCTTCTTCGTCGTCTCCAATATACCATGGATCTCGCCTCTGGCCTACTACTTCCCCATATCGGAGGAAGTGAAGCAGCAGTCTATCAAATTCCGCGAGCTGGGCTCCAAGCAGTACGACGAGAGAAGGCTGCAGGGCACCGAGCCTCACGACATCTTTTCGCATCTGATAGATTCTTACACCAAACATGCGTAAGTCTGGCACAGTCTTTCAGGATGGGTGCACAAGCTCACTCGTGGCTCTGTAGGAAGAATGCAGAGGCCCATCTACGGGCGGACTCGCCGGTGCTCTTCATCGCTGGCAGCGACACGACGTCCACAACGATGGCGTAAGCGTCGTGTGGTGTAGCGGAGGTGGTGTATCTTGCTGACTCGGTCGTAGGTTTCTCTTCTACTTCGTTCTACGGGACCGGAAGGTCTATAAGAGACTCCGCGACGAGATAGACCAAGCTTGGGACGGGAAATCTCCCTTGGAGGCTGGGATGCTGGGTGATACTCTTCGCAGCCTTGTATAACGTCCGTATACTAATGTGGACCTTGCAGGTATCGAGACATGTCCATATCTTCACGGAGCCATTCAAGAAGCCCTACGTCTGGTCCCTCCCGCTCCGAATGGAATGCAACGCCGCCTGATCCGGGACACTGAGATTGACGGCCATTTCATCCCGGCAGGGACACTGGTAAGTTGCCATGAGAAAGAGATCTCTGCTCCCAAATCCATCACCCTTTCCCTCTCGCACTAACACTGATACTCCCCTCTCGCACGACAGGTCTCAGTCAACGCCTGGGCCGCACAGCGCCACGCCAAACATTTCACCAACCCTCTCGACTTCGTGCCTGAGCGCTGGATCGACTCGGAACGGGACAAAGAGTGGAACCACGTGCCCATGGCGTACATCCCCTTCGGCATCGGGAGCTACCTGTGCATAGGCCGCGCGCTGGCCATGCAGGAACTGCGCCTCATCGCCGTCAAGCTGATGCGCGAGTTCGACCTCGAGCTGGCCCCGGACTTTGACCATGCCAGGTTCTGGTCCGACATTCGGAGCTGGCAGGCGATTTTCAAGCCAGCTCTTCCGTTTTGGTATAAGCGACGCGGCAGGACGGAGGGCACAGTGTAACTGGGGTTTTCTAGTTCTATCTGATCCAGTCTAGGCTGTCGGCATTGCATCATAACCTATCTCAATATACATCTCTGGCAGTAACACGAATGATGTCGGTGTTCTCATACTTGTTTCATGGCCGGTTATGTCGCGGAGTGTCACTGTGCAAGTGAAACAGTAATAGCAATGGCAATGGCAATGGATTCTCCATTCGGGGACTTAGTCACCAGTGGTCTCCTCGGACATGCCTTCTCGCGACTTGTGCAATACCCCCTCCTCCCCCACTAGGTGGACCACATTGAACCCCAAATCTAACCACTCGTATCTGTACCGAGAAATACGGGCCCGTAGAGAAATCCACAAAACCACAGCCGACCCTTGTCATGAAGCCCGTTGCTGGTGTGGATTTCCCGAGCCCATGGGGTTTAAGCGTGTCGCCAGGGTGGATACCATGGTACCGTGCAAGGATCTTCCTCAAATGAACCATGCACATTGACCACATGCTCATTACATATTCTCTACCACGTTGTTAAAAGTCTTCCAAAAAAAAAAAAAAAAAGGTTGTTTCCCCCTTGAGAGTACCGTACATCACCATCCTGTGAGCCTGTATAGAATAGCGACGACGAGATGCTGACCCTCGACCCAAACTCCGACAACCTCCCCAAACGCTCGGAGCTGCCGTCCATCCCTGGCGCTCCGGCCGGTGCGCTCTGGTTCTGGGGCAAAGACGATGAGGTGAGCGGCAGGAAACATTGTTTGGCCTAGGTCATATCATATCACACCACACAAAACATGTGAACTTGGTTCGAGATACTTACTTACACGCACCACTTAACTTCTCAGCTCGGCCGGCTGAATATGCTGACGCCACGGCGCACTGCGGCAGCTGCAGACCTCATCAAGACGGGAGAGGTTGTGAGCTTGAAGTATGATTGATCTCGCCACGACAATATACACTACTGATAACATGACGACTAACACGCTTGCAGCTGGCCGATGACCCTCCCCAGTCCGACGCTGTTTGGCCGAGAACCATTCCACCACGAGATCAAGGGCAAACTGGGTTTCGCCAACGACGATGTCATGCATTTCAACACACAGACATCCTCACAGGTATGTTCTTGTTCCGGCCATCAAGGAAAAAGGGGGTGAGGTTGTTTGTTAACATGCTACCACCATCATCTGGCCACAGTGGGACGGACTGCGTCATGTAAGTAAAGCCACACGGCCATTTGTCTGCTGGCACTAGGACATGAGAATTGATTGATTGATACAGGTGAGCTTGACCGAGGGAGAAAAGAGGTTGTACTACAACAATGTAAACGTCCCAATGAGCTGCGTGCGAGGACACCATCGCTTAGACCATGTCAGACAACCCAGCATGATATCGAAACCAGCCCTCGACTTGGACTGCAAACCTGGGCCGACAAGGGTATTGGTGAGTGACTCTCGACCCACGATATCAGAAAGCGAGCTAATCCCACTTCCCAGTCGGTCGCGGCGTCCTCATCGACTACTTCGAATTCACCGGCCGCAGCTACGATCCACACCAATCGCATCCCATCTCCGTACAATCCATCCGCGCCTGCGCGGGAGCTCAGGGCGTCGAGTTCCGCTACGGCGACATCCTGATCCTCCGCACCGGCTTCATCTGGAAATACAATAGCCTCGACAGCCGGGGACGCGACGAGCTGGCCAAGATCCCCGGACACGAGCTGGGCACCCCGGGCGTCGAGCAGACGGAGGAAATGCTCGACTTCCTGCACGACAACTACTTCAGCATCGTGGCGGGGGACAACCCCGGTTTCGAGGCGTTGCCGCAGCCCTCGTCGCTCAATCTCCATCTGATCCTGATCCCGCTGTGGGGTCTCGGGCTCGGGGAGCTGTTTGACCTGGAAAAGCTGTCCGAGACGTGCAAGAGGTTGGGGCGGTACGAGTTTTTCTTCACGAGTTCGCCGCCAAACGTGCCAGGTATTGATCTTCCCTTCTTGCCTTTGGAACATTTTTTTTCTTTTTTGCCTTTCTCGCAAAGGGACCTAGCTGACAATGATTTTCCCTTCTAGGTGGAGTAGGATCCTATCCGCATGCTCTGGCGATCTTTTAGAAGGCGAGGAGAATGAGTATACCAGTTTAGTAACAGTCTGTAGGGTGGGCAAAGCGTTGATCTTCTCCCAAGCTTGCGCTGTAGACTGAGTAGAAGACTATGCTATGGGATCAGCAACGGAGCGGATCGTCAGCTAGAGGGTTATATGGCACTCCTGAGTTCAGCATGGTTCATATCCCAAGTCAAATGGTACATTCGCAGTCAGCAGAGGGGACTTGACAATGAGCAGACAATCTTCCAGTACGCTGTGGCTCTCAAGAATAGCTCTTATCTTTTCTTCCTCCCCCACTGCACCCTCCTCTTTCTCGACAGGAAGTAGATTGATCGTTCACATCCCACGTCTCGAGAATCTACCCCACCATACTCAACTTCTGGTCATACTGCCTCGCCTTCTCCCCGATATCCGCCACCGCGGCCGCAAAATCAATCCGGTCCGCCGACTTGCCCTCGCCCATGTACTCGGCCGCGGCGTTGGCGTAGGGCAGGCCCTCGCGTAGAATGACGTCGGTGCCGCTACACTCGGCGACCTGGCCGGACAGGGAGGCGTCGTTGATGAAGAGGTTGACGGCCTCGATGATCGTCGAGGTCGGCGTCTGCATGGCCTCGGGGATGGCGGCCAGGAGGGCCGTGTTGGCCAGAGGCGTGGGGACCAGGCCCGGGCAGATGCAGTTGACTGTGATGGGGTCGCCGAGGGTTTTTATACGCAGGCCGAGGGAGCGGACGAATCCGACGATCTGATATCATTAGCGGGTCTGTCAGTCATGTTTGAGACACAGGCAGGCAGGTGGGGAGATAATAGGGGTGCTAGGCAGAAAGACGTACCCCCGTCTTAGCACAACCGTACAGCGGCGCCAGCGGCGTCGGATAGATGCCGCCCTGACTCGATGTGATGACGAGCCTGCCGGTGCGGTCTGAGTTCTTGCGAAAGAAGTGCAGGGCGAGATACGACGACCAGATGGCGCCGTACAGGCACACGTCGACGGTCAAGACGTCCGGCTTGGGCGGAGCACCAGTTGAGTCGTCCTCCGGAGCTGGGGCGCTGAAGTCGGTGCGATCTAGAATACCCTGTGTGCTGCGATCAATATGTCACTCTCTCCCACTTGGGAACGCCCTAGACGGAATGTGATTGAAGTCTCATACCGCATTTGCAAAAACTGTCAATCACGATCAAACTCAGTATGGACCTCCAAGACCAGCGAGGAATCCCTCCCCCCACGGGATCATGGCCAGGAGCATGGGATAGCATAGTATAGGGCACCATACCTAGATCAATCCGCCCCCATCTCTTCCAGGCCTGAGCAAACGCGCTCGCTTGCTGCTCATAATCGACGACATTTGCGCGGGTAAAGTGGACTTTCTGGCCCAGTTGCGCCTCAGCGTCACGGCCCATTTTGACGTCCAGGTCGACAATCTCGACGTTCCAGCCTTGACTGACCAGGTCTTGCACAACGCTCAATCCCATCCCCGAAGCTGGTCGCGTGGCCGAGTTTCGCGCCCGTGTTATCAAAGAGTGCCACCAAGCATGCGTGCATGCTGCATGTAGGTATCAAGGGGGGGAGGAGAAAGGTACAGAGAAACTCACCTCCACCTGTGACGAGGGCGCATCTTGGAGACGTCGTTGACATTCTGGCTTGAAGCGGTGTGGTTGTGGTTATTGTTAATATTGTCGTTGCATTGTTTGTTTGGACTGCAAATTCTCGAACCACCGCAGCTTTTGTTTGGAATTTTTTTGTCTCTCTGCAACTTTTCACAATTCCATCCCCATTCACAACTGACAGATCTGACTTTGGGACCAATGACGGGTACTCTCAGATATGGATCGGCAAAGAAGGGAAGAGGCAGAAACCGAACAGGGCAGTGAAGCTCTGCGCAAATACAACTAACTAGGCTATATCGGTTCGGGAGCCCACAGTCCTACAATGATTGAGCAGCTTTGATTCCCTGGATATTAGCATACATACCCATCCCGTGCGGAGATGAAATGCGACGAGTGACCACATCATGGTCGGCGCTATCAAACTCAAGTTTAGGGAGGACTTTGTCCAGGGAAGTCGGGGCATCGCCATCGCCATTGCCTTGACATGGTATGAGACAAGGACGATAAGCGCGGCAAAGAAACCGAAACTCTTGTCCCAGGCTTTCGACGGTCATCAGTGAACAAACAGATTTCGTTCCGGTCCATGATAATTGAATCGGTGTCATACCAGACAGAGCCAATGCTTTTTCACCAAGTGCAGCATGCCTAATTACAGCCGAAATCTTGCCATTTTAGTGGTCTCCTGTTCATCACAGCCCTTGAGGACATGCAGTCATGTGTGTACCCCAAGCTACATCGCCCACCTATGCCGTAAGTCCGCCGTCGACGCTCATGGTCGCGCCCGTGATGAACGAGGCCGCGTCCGACAACAAAAACACATACATTTCCGCCAGCTCCTCCGGCTGGCCTATCCGCTTCATGGGGGTTTTCTCCTTGACAAACGCGATGATGGCAGCTGGGACCTCGTCGCCGCCGTCGGCGGACTGCATCAGAGTTTGCTGCATGCCTGTCTTTACGATTCCTGTTCCCTCCCTCGAAAAAAAGCCAGAAGGCAAGCAAGAAGCCGTCAGTAAAGTGGATTCAACAAAGCGCCATCTCTGCAAAATCAAGGGAAAAGGTGGGAACATGAGCACACAACGTGAATGAAGCGGAGGAGAGTATCTTACCGGGCGCGACTGCATTCACGCGAATCCCCTGTTCGGCCCATTCGATCGCCCACGTCCTGGTAAGGCTGACAACGGCGGCTTTGGAGGCATTGTACGCTGCCGTGAATGCGCCGGGCCTGATGGCGTTGGCACTGGTGGTGCTGACAATGGAGCCGTTCGAGCCCTGCTTTCGAAACTGGTAGTATGCTTCGGTGGCGCAGTTCCACACCCCGACGACATTCACCGCCAGCGTTCGCTGCAGAGACTCGTCGTCGTACGTGTTGGATTGGTGGGCGATGCCGGCATTCGGAACCATCCCGTCTAGACGGCCAAAACGCGCCACCGTGTCCTGGACCCATTTGTGGACGGCGTCTCTCGAAGACACGTCCACCACCGTATAGCTATACTCGGAATCAGATGTCGCTGTCGCGCCGAGACTGCTGGGAGCGTCTTTGGCCAGATCGGCAATGGCGACATTCGCGCCCACTTTGAGCAGTTTCTCCGCAACAGCGAGGCCAATGCCCGACGCGCCGCCTGTCACGGCAATAACCTTGCCTTTCAATGATCCGTCCATGATGTCTGTGTGCTAGTGGTGGTTGGTATTCTGCTTTTGATGGTCTAAAGAGTTCGTTGGGGACTGTCACTGTTCAGAATCGAGTGCGCCAGTGAGAGTGCCACAGTGTCATTGGGCGACAGAAAGTATTTATTCCCCTGCTTGAGCTGATTTGCTGGTAGATGGATAATGCCAACCGTAAGTTGGGAACATGACCAGTCTGTGGATTATTGTTGGATTTTGTGCACCACACCAAACTCATCTTTGCTCCAGCAGTGGAGACATGGGAGAAGAGAAAGCCTAGAGCACGCACCAGAAATTTGTGATTGACTCGACTCCAAGAAACACAGGAAGCATACCCTGAGTGTCTGTCCAGTGGGGTCCCGAACCCGTTTTGTTTAGGACTTTCCCCAAAGAGATCGGGATGACGGAAACTTAACTGCAAGTGGAATTTCTGCGGGTCCTTTTCCAACTCGTGGGGGTAATGAATACTCGGTACATGACCCAGTCGGCTTCGTTGAATTGAATGGATTCCCCCACAATGTTCCCCGGACCCCGGCTGCGAAGAGATGGTCACTGCCTGGTACGCAATATGTTGTCCCTCCCCGAGCCTTTCGAGCATAATTTCTGATTCCATCCACCGCACAGAGGGAATCTGACCTCTCTCTTGCCGAGTTTGCAACACAAGATTGGGTTTGTTACTCCACCAGAGCCTTTGAAGCTGGATGTGGCTGGAAAACATTATGGGTCCACTGGGGTGAGTGTCCCGGATCTGCACCTCTTCTGGGAGAGGAGGTTTGTCTGCGAACATCAGGAGGGGGGAAAAAGCCCTTAAGAATCTCATGGAACCCTGAAATCGCAAATCCCACTGTGTCCTCCACTGTGTACGCGGTACTTGTTGTCCCATCACTTGATTGCCCAAGATGATCTTCTCAACAGCGGCGGCCGGTACCTGGCTGTCGGCCATCGGACTAGTCTTGATCAGCTTGGTGCTGATTAGAATCCTGAAGCTGATCGTCCACTACATCGAGGCGAGGAAGCTTGGCGTCTCCCTGATTGTGACGCCCGTCTCGTGGCAAGATCCGCTGTGGCTCATCTTCTGGCGGCGCTTCGCCTGGATCAGAAACCTCCCGTTCGGCGGATGGTTGGACTTCAGCTACATCAGCTGGTCCGTGAGCGCGTACTACCACCCTCACCAGAAGCTAGGCGATGCGTTTGCCGTGGTCCGGTCGGGCCATAATGAGCTGTACGTGAACGACCCCACCGCGGTGCAAGAGATCATGTCGCGGTGGAAGATCTGGATCAAGCCGCCGGAGCAGTACGACATTTTCAATCTCTTCGGGCCCAACGTGGTCAGCATCAACGGCGAGGACTGGCAGCGCCATCGCAAGATTGCGGCCGCCGTCTTCAAGGAATCCAACCACCGGCTCGTGTGGACCGAGGCGATGCGGCAGTCCGGGCAGATGTGCGAAGAGATGAAGCGCAGACAGGACGCCACCAACGGCGAGCTGACGCTCAAAAACGTCGAGACGGATGTCGCCCTCGCGGCCCTCCATGTGCTGTCAGCCGTGGGCCTGGGCCAAAGCTACGACTTCGCCGGAGGCTTGAAGCACATTGTCCAGGGCCAGCACCGGGTCTCGTACGCCGAGTCTCTGTCGTTCATCTTTCGCAACATCTTCCTCGTCTGGATCTTTCGTCACGTCAAACTGCCCAGCTTCTTACTGCCCCAGAGCATCCAAAACGTCCATCTGAACCTCCACGAGTTCAGAGAGTACATTCGCGAGTCGATTGCCCGATTCAACGCGCAGTCCGACGCAAAGGCCGACATTGTCAGTTCGCTCGTGCGCGCCAACGAAGCCGCCAAGCGAGAAAAAGTTGCCGGTCAAAAAGGGTTCTTCCTCAGTGACGAGGAGCTGTACGGCAACTTCTTCGTGTTGAACTTGGGAGGGTATGAGACCACCGCCGGTGCCCTGACATTCACCATTCCGTCTTTGGCACGGTACCAGGACGTGCAGGAATGGCTCAGGGAGGAAGTGGATAGCGTCGTCGCAAAGACGGACAACTACGACGAGGCATTTCCTTTGCTGGTGAGGTGTCTGGCCACCATGGTGAGTAAACCCAACCGTTTCCGCGGACGTGTCGAGTGATGTTGACCGGGTATGTTAGTACGAGACGCTGCGAATTCACGGACCGTTGCCCGACGATGCACGGTATTCCCTCGACACTCAAGTCCTGCAGGTCGGCGACAAAAAGATTGTCGTCCCGCCAAAGACATATGTGACCCCCAACATCTACGCCGTCCACACAGACCCTCGGTACTGGGGACCCGATAGTATGGAGTGGAAGCCGTCGCGATGGATCACAAGGAACGCCGAGGGGAAAGAAGTGCTCGCCGACCCTCCCCAAGGAGCCCTGTTTGCCCCCTGGCTGGCAGGTCCTCGCATCTGCCCGGGCAAAAAGTTCAGCCAAGTTGAATTCGTTGCTGTGCTGGTTGGACTGTTGCGCAAGTATCGGGTGGGACTCAAGGTGCGTCCGGGCCAGACCAAGGAAGAGGCGCAGGACAGCCTGTTGAAGGCGATCTATGACAAGGACATTGTGACGACTCCTGTTTTCAAGCGGCCGTACGACGCTAGCATTGTGATTGACTATAGATAGCTGCCCTGGCGAGACGTCGGCGTTATGCACCAAGATGATGTCAACGAACAGTACATGAATATTCAGCTTGCAAGTGTCGAGTCGAGGGTAAAACTTCGCGAAACTGCACTGAGATTCCTTTTTGATTTCTCTTTTCATGTGGACCTGGGCAAAGACCAATGACCGGCCCCAAAACGCGCGCTGGGGAGTGGGGCGCAGCATTTCTACAAAGGAGCTTTTTTCAATGTCAACAGGTATTTCGAATAAATGTTTTTGATATAGTTACGTCCAGATAACTTATCCTAACCTTTCTTCTCACCGGGCGCTCTCCCCAAGTACGTCTCTTGCGTTTCAAGCTGTCTTTTGTACGCAGACAATAGCAATAATGGCTCCAATGCCACCTATGCCTTCAACAACCTTACCCAAAGACGAAAGTGAATGGCGCTTTCACGACACTGGGTACCCAAGTGAATGGGTCGAAATGTATCGATCTAGTGGGTTCCATCCAATTAACCTGGGCGACACCTTCAAAAATGGACAGTATCGAGTCATCCGGAAACTAGGCTATGGTTCATTTTCAACTGTGTGGCTGGCAAGAGATGCAGTGTTGGTCACAATCGTTAGACCCCTTGCTCTTAGATCTCCAGAACTGATTCTGGGTGGAAAGATCGGTTCGAGTATCGACATCTGGAGTTTTGGCTGTCTCATCTTTGAACTGCTGACCGGAGTTTCGTTATTTTCTGTTGTGGTGTATTTCGAAGACGACCGAGAGTCCACCGACGATGAGCATATACTCCAGATGAACGACATCCTAGAGCCGCTTCCGGATGTCTGGCTTCAAAAAACGTGGACGCGAGCCAGAAAATATTTCGGCCCCGAGCGGGAGAGGCTGGGTCCAATTGCCGATGGTCAAAACGAGCCGTATGTCGACGACCCTTTGGAGTTGCGATTAAAGGAGTATAAGCCAAAGGATATCGACGAGGAGGCAGGTGTGATCACGTCGCTCATTCGAAGTATTCTGAGGTATGAGCCATCACAGAGATCGACGGCCGAGGAACTCTTGAAGCATTCTTGGTTTCATGAATGATGCTTGTCTTCTTCCGCCCCCAGACTCGATTGATCTCTCTCTCATAGAAAAAAAGAGGAAGGAAGCCAGACCATCCTCACTGTCATCAAAGTCGACTGCATCAGGAATGACCGCTCGAGAGAAAATCCCTCCTCGTTTCCAGACTCGACTTCCATGGTTGTTTTGTTTCCAGCACTGCGACTGTATTCTCTGTAGGGAAGAGGTAGAAAGGCTCGTCGTCGTCCCGCAAGACGTACCGAGTCCAGGGAAGCCAGTAGATGTCTCGATGTGCTCATCGCGTTGTAGTGTGCGTGCCGCGTAGGGAACTGTAGCCAAGGCAGTGAAAGTGAATGCTGGTGAAGTTCTCCCAAACCCTCCTCTTGGCTGGATACTCACGGTAATCACATGCCACACACAGAGACACAGGATCCGTGATATTCACCACCACAAGTGGGTCCCAAGTCCAACAGTCCAAATTAAATACATATTAATTGGACTCGCACAATTCCAGTAAACTTTTGAAGAGGCATTATTGCCTATCTTCCACACACACTCTCTCTCTCCCTCCCTGGCCTCGACCTCGTCCATGTCGTATGCGCACTTTCACCTCCGCTTCTCCCCTTTCTTCTCTGCCTCTTCTACCCTCTCTCCTGCCCCCCGTGTGCCCTCGCCTCTTCTGCCCTCTTCTGCCCTCTCTTGAATACAACAATAACTTTGAGTCTCTATAGGCTGTGGGTACGCTGGTAACAACAGGCCCTTGGCCGTTACCCCATTCTCATACGTACTCACGGCCTTCATGTTGTATACATTGGACCTAGTGGTTTGGTCATTCTTTTTTGGAAGTTTGAAGCGTGTCCTCCCTCTTGGTAGAGTATATCTTGTAGTTTTTGAATGATGATCCAGTTCGAGACTGGGATAGTTCGCTTTGATTTTTTGCTCCGATTGAATCTTCTGTGTTTTCTGTGTGCGGTCTGCATGCGGTAGGTGTGCCTGAGAATTCTCTGTCGTTAGCAACACCTTGGCGAACATAGGGACAACGAAAAGATAAACGTTTTCACCTCACCCGTGAACCCACACTCAGACAGCACCTCAACCAATTTTTTCTCATCGTTTCATTCATCAGATTTCATCAACCGATCATTCTGAACCTTCTCCTGAGCTTTGTGTTCTTTACCCTCGCCACTTTCATCAGTTCTTCAAAGCTCGAGTGAGAGTTCAACGTCCCCGTACAAGCAGTGCGCGACTCAGGTTTCCGGGTTCTTGCATGCTCAAATCGGACTTTCATCTCTGATCCAGCCTGCGATTCAGCTCTCAACCATCAAAATTTCCAGTCAGCGCTGAATTCTAGCCTGCGATTCAGTTTTCAATCAGCAGAAACTCCGGTTAGCATTAAATTTCAACCTCCAATTCAACTCTCGATCCCTCAAAACTCCAGCCAGCTTTGAGTTGCATTTTGCGATTCAGCTTTCGAAAACTTCGGCTAGAATTCCGGCCTTGAGTTCACTCAACCTCATCTCCACACCTCACCCAAAGTCAAAATGTCTGGAACAACTTTTGACCTACCTATTGTGGGACAATGCAATACAAAAGCCATACACACACAAGATATCGAGATGTCTAATAATCCAGCAACTCCGATAAAGAAATCAGCCGTAGAAATGACGAAGTTAGAGGTCAGACTTGTCCGGAACATGGACCTTGTTACAGACCCCATCTTCCTTCCGGCTTTCAGATGCAGGTCGATGCAAAATCTCCTTGCAACATATGACCTGAAACTGAAGAGGGTGAATTACCGCGCTTGGAACATGCTCCATGGGACATACATGAAAGACACATTGCCAACGGTATTCCTTGGAAAGACAGTTGGGAAGGGTTCGAATTTGTGGGTGGAAGCACAGTGGAATCAACCAGGGACATACTCTAGGTGGTTCAATCGCAATATTGAGTCTGGACAAAACAGTGGCGCTAGTGTCAAGGTGGAAATCCATGTCACGGTTGATTACGTGGCCGCTGGTCTCGCGGAGTACCTCGGGCGGATTGACGACCCGACCGAGGAGGAGCTTGAGAAGGAGCGCCTGGAGGAGGCGGAAAAGGAGAGGATCCCGGCCACCAAACGGCCATATAAGAGGGTGGAGTACCTCTTTGAGGAGTGGGACCTCATCGAGAAGAAGCAGGAGGAACGTGGCATGTGGTTGCCAGCGATGACCCCCCGGGCCCGAAGAGAGCGATATGCCCCTAAGGGGAAGGAGTTCGACCCGGGGTCTCACCCCTGGTTCAAGGGGGAGACGGACACCGAAGCCAACTACTTCGAGGTCCAAGATGGGGACGACGACGACGAGGATGACGAGGAGGAGGAGGAGGAGATGGAGGCGGTGGATGAGGAGGAGTGGGAGGAGGAGTACGAGGACGAGGACGAGGAAGAGGAAGAGGATGAGGGAGATGCCATGGACATCGATGGCTGAGGTTGGAATAAGTTTGGTGAGGCCAAGAGGCCAAGAGCCTAAGGCGGGATGACGTCTGTGTGGAGTACGTGGCCTTGTTTTACTGAGAAATAGTAAAACGCCAAAGTCAACAGACTCAATAGCAACGGTGCTTCCTACTGCCTATCCGCTCCTCATTGTGACATACAAACTGCGTCTCGACAGTGACGCTCCACTCCGCGTGCCCAATACCCTGTTACTGAAACAGGTGGCGTCCACAATGGGGGCCGCTCGCCGTGCCATCACAAGAACAACAACAACATACTGTGCACTAAGTCTGACACGCCGTGGACATCGCCTTACGAACCTGTGACGGCGACCGGTTAACTTGTGAATGACGTCCCCAGACCGACTGTGCACTGAGCCGCCGTCCTATCCATCGCATTTTGCACGTGTGGACCTGGAAAGCCTTATGAGCTGGACGTGCGCAAAGACCATCTGGGCCTTGGACGAAAGTGGGAGCATGAAGAGGAGGTATCACTCGGAGTGAGCGCCATTGTCAAGAAGATCAAGAGAGGGAAACAGAAAGATTCTGTGGTATACAACACGTCTGTAGTGCGCAGGAGATGTAAGAGCAGGTCAGAGGGCGACTGGTACAGCTCGGAAGGAATGCGTCAGCTCGCCTGAATGACTGCGACCACAGATGCAGTGCCGACTGCGTGTTTCAAGTTTGAGCCTTTTGGGCCTGATGCTTGCGAAGAGATGATTGAGTCGCCTGAACTACATGCAAAAGACCTAAGCAATTGGGAGGCTTCGCAGGAGAGTTTCGGAGCATGACAACATATTCGCCCACTACCAGAGCCTCGTTTGACTCAATTCCCTCGAGAAGAGGACAGTCCTATTCCCCATGGACGGGCCCTCTCAAGGAATGCACAGTCTTCACCCTAGTAGCGGTCGTTGATCTACAACCTTTTCTAACCAGAACTTAGTAATAACGGAACCCCCAACCACCATACTCAATGAAGCAATCGCTGCTGTGTTTGTACAAGTCTAGCTTAGACATTCTCCTTCGTGGGGGAGAGGGACGAAGAACAAGAAGGTGATCGTCAAGGAGTGAGACGCCCCTGCCATAGCACCAGCTCCAACAGCTCTCAGGTTTTGCAGAGAACCACACGCCCGTCCCTAGCAGTAACTTCGCTGGACTCAGGTAAAGATCTCGCTTTGAACGTGTTTGGAGGGTGTTCGAAACAATCCACCTGTCTTCCTCACTTCGCCTGCGGTGGGGGGTTGAAGGTCATGGTTGTAGGAGGTACATATCCTTCTGTCCTGGCCCCAGACCCCGTCGGTTTCCTCACCTGCTCTTCTCTAAATTTGACCTCCTTCTCATCTTGAGCGACGACACAGCAACAGCAACAAATGCCCTTGACACAGTCCCCAGCAACGTTGCCGGCCTCGTTGCTCATGGTGTAGGTCTTCCGCACCCGCGTGTGCTGGATTGCAGCCAGTATCCCATTGACGCCGCAGAGAAGACCGAAAGCAATGCAAGACCCGTTGAGCGCCGTATAGCCCAGCATGTTCGTCGGATCTTTCCTTTCGTCTCTCAATCCCAGCCGATATTGGGTCTTCCCATATACAATGCACGGGCAGAACAGCCCGGTTAGGCAGGTCGAAGGTTCGGCACAAGAGCAAAAGCTATGCTGCCACGAGCCGCCTTTTATGGACTGTGGACTCGGAGTAAATACGTGGGCTGAGAAGTGAGCGGCATCGGCCGCAGGAGGGACGATGGCCATGTTGGTGCTGGCACGATTGGGTTTACGATTCGTGGGTGTCAAAGGATTCGTATCTGGCACAATGTGCCCCGTGGGTTCGTTTTCAGGAATGGTTGATTGTTTCGCAGGTTCGGGAGGTTGTGGTAGAGAGGGTATGGAATACTGTAAATTCTGCGTTTGAGGTGGTTGATGTAGAGGTACGTGGGCAGGATATGGCTGTGAGGTGTAAGCGCCAGGTTGCTGAACAGCCTGCACGTATTGCTGTTGTGCAACCGCTGGATTGTGCAGATGATGCGGAACTCCATCATCTCTGTAAACCTGTGGTTCCATGCTCGGTATCGGAATCTGTCCTTGCGGCGGTTCTTGTTGTGCAACACCCTGTGAAGGCGGTTGTGTTGAAATGATTGTCTGTCTCTTTGCTCCCACACGATTCTCCTCGTCTGCGGACGTGGTCATCCACGAAAACCGATTATCGGCCGATTGCTGAGGTGGCTGCAGAGAAGTGGGAGGACGGACTCGAGGATACTCGTAGGTTTTCATCTCGACGGGAGGTCGGGCAGCCCGCTGCCCGTGTTTTTGCAGCACACCACCGTTGGGCTCGTTTGAAAGCGTACCGCAGTCAGCAATGACGTGGGAGGGGCGGCCTTACTGTTGTTCTGTTTAAGCAATCGACCACTATATCGTAGATTATCCATGGAAACGCAGAAAGCTAAGGACGACGAGGATGAGGATAGAGATAAAGGGAGAAGACAGTCGGTCACCTTGAAGGATCTTAGCATTGCCTCACTCGGCGCCAGCGAGGGCGAGCCTGGGATGCAGGAGCCGCGTGCCATTTCGCTGCCATTGATCATCACTCGTTGCTTGGGTCGATTGTCGTCGACGATTGGACTGCGAGGAGCGAGGCTTGACACTCGGCAAAACCTGGGCGCTTATGGGAAACACCAAAATTAGGAGGGGTGGACAACCTTGACAACCTCCGAGTGGTCTCCAGCGCGAATCGCGGTAATGCTTGGGGACTCTGGATGAAACAAGCGACACGAAAGCTCGTTGCCGCCATCCAGAAGCTGCGTTGAAGCGCCGAAGAGCTGGTCGGGTGATGGAAACAAACTTTCACAGCAAGTTTTGTTGCCCGTCGCCTTGTCACTCTCCTGACGTCTGCGCTACGGGCCACTTGGTGACCTGGAGCCGCCAACTTCCTTGACTTTCTCATCGCCCCAACAAGTCCCATCTTCTCCTCTACGTGACAAGCTGTAACACACTCCACTGCGCTCCCCCTGCCCTTTGCGTGCGCCTCGACGCGTACATACCGTCAGTGTCAGGACACCATCGGGTCCTCGGTTCCTGCGACACCGACACTCGTAAACTCTAATGCCGCAGGCAAGGCTGCATGGGTGCATGAACAAGAGAGGGAAATAAGACGCCTCTTCTGCTTTGCTGCACACCATATACAGGCTAATAATTTCTGTTTTGGAAGAGTACAAAGTCTGCAACCTGCCTGGTTTCTCGTTCGAGGGAACGGCGCCATGTCTATTGTACCTAGATGGCTATATTGGTACCGTGCTTCTGGAACAAAGGGCCTAAAGCGGCTGGGCGCGGAAGTTACACCATTTTTTAAGCGCGGGAATCATCACGGACATGGGATTTTATAAATTTCAAATATCTAGACCTGGCTGCCACAAATCTGGACTACCTGGCCGTAAGTTCACGACGGGCAGTTCGGCCATGTGCAGCTTCGCACTGCCGTACGGGCGCAGTTCGACCGGAAAGGCCCTTCCGGTGCAATTCCGCTGACCAGCCAATGGCGGATTTGGGGCATACCCGTCCTGAAGCTCCCACTCGATCTGGCAGGCTAAGGCCGAGATGCTGACAGGCGGCCGCTCCTCGTGCCAGATCGGATGTGGAAGCCAAGCATCGTATCGATTGGGATATTCATAGAATTTCAGAGTCGTGGCGTCTATGGCCAGATTCCAATAATCTCTTGGGAGGATCGACCAGTCATTTGCCTCAGGCGGAGCCTCCATTCCGGGGTAGTTGGCCGGACGCGAGGCAGTGTAGTCTCCAGCGATTGGCAGCGCATAGAGCAGAGCACCGTAATAGACGGAAACGGTGTCGTTGGCTCTAGATTCGACTCGAAGCTTTGCGCTGAACGAAACCTCGATACGGGTCCTTCCCGCTGATACAACCATCGTATGCAGGCCTGTGGCATTGTTCGGTGCGAGGGGGTGCCGTTTTCCCCGGTCGACCATCACAATGCTTGCATCTAGCATGGCCCAAGAAGGGACCCTGAAGGAAAACCGAAAAGCCTTTGTCGCCTTGATCTCATAGGAAAGGTAGCTGCTGAACGGGTAGTTTGTATCGCACCGAATCCGTACCTCATGCCGCCTCTTCAGCGTGGTGCGAACATGAGCCGGGCCTAGCAGAGCATGGACCAACCCGTCTTCGCCCTCCTTCACAAACATGGCTGGAACAAACTTCGAATATCCCTGCATGTTGACAGTGCAGCACGGGTAGTTTGGTTCCGTTCCAAAAGTCTGGCCCAAGGGACCAACATTCCAAAAGGGGGGGTTGTCAAGTTGATGACTGACGGGTTGGTTGGTTTGTGCGACGTATTGATGAGCCCACCAGTGGGGCATCAACATGACAGGCAAGGCATTGTAAGCAGCCAACTCTGACTTGTCTGCGAAGTCGCGGTCGCCCATCGCCTGATACAAATAGTTCAAAGAGAAAATTGATTCCACCACGCTGCAAAGCTCAGTACCCCGGGTCGGGCTCAGCCCCGCCTCACGCTCATCCCCAACGATGGCACCAGATGGAGTCCCGTGGTAGCGAAAAGTCCAGTTGACTCCGTTCCTGGTGGTGTTGACAAGGGAGTCATCTTGGACGAGTCGTCTCATCACACCACCCCATTTCAGCCCTTGACCAGCGTTGACCCCGTGGATATAGGGGAACAGGCTCTTGATGACATCTTCCGGGTAGGTATCCAGATCCCCTTTCAAGAAATGATCTTCGTGGAACCAATATGACCAGTCATAGGCCATCTCGTACATTTGAACCATGCAGTAATGGATCGCCTTTTCATTGCCCATGGGGTATTTCTCGTAAAGCCACTGCAGGGCCAGCACCATGTCTGCCGCACGAGAGCGACCCCATTGTTCGTCGAACAGATCACCCGGTTTCCAGACGTAGCCCTGGTGGTGGTCCTGCAGCATGGAATACATGAGCCGGACGAAGCGGTGCATTGCCGGCAGTATCATGGTCTGACCCAGCTCGGGC